TCCTTACTTTCAAATTCCTGGGTGGCACTCCACAGTTATTTCTTGAACTGCCTGAACCCATGTCCTGTTAGTAAGAAAAATGAGGCACAAAGGAGTTAAGTGACATTTTTTCCCTCATTTTTAGTACATGTCTGTTGAGTACTTATTATGGGTCATGATCTAAGATGGGTTCTGGGGAATAAAACATAATCTTGGTACACAAGAAGGCACACAAATGAGTAATTACAACAGAGTTGAGTCAGTCCATTGTTAGGGAAGTAGAGGGCACAGGGAGACATATATTGTGTGATCCTAACCCTCTTTACTCTTTCTTGTTTTGTTTTGTTTTTAGCCACTTTTTGGCTTTCCAATTTGATCACCAAGTAAAATTGTAGCTGAACAAGCAGTTTGGAGATCAGAATATAAAAAATTGATTGGGCAAATTCCCTTAGCAGCCGAGAGAGCCTGGCTGGGAGGAGAAAGTTTTAGATGTGCCCTCATGGTGAGAAACAGACCACGTCTTTGACATGAAAATCATCAGGACCAAAGGGATGAATACACCTTGCAAGTTTCAGTGGGAATCAAAAATTACTCTGGAAAGATGAATTGAGGTTAGATACCAGATATCATGGATATAAAGCACCTTTGAAAAGAGATAGAAATCTTAAAAAAAAATAGAAGAAAAAGAGGAAGCATCAGAGGGCAACCTGGACATGGTCATGGATAGTGTGATAGGGGCTTTATTTGAGAACACAAGGCATGGAGTTTTATTTTTAATCAAGGTTTCTACTGCCGAAAATCTATTTTGTTCACTAGATTTGGCCAGGTCAAAATTCAGACTGGGATTTAAACAAAAATGTTTTAGTCTCTCTGAGGTTCCTGAAAAAAAGTCACAGATATGTTTGGTTCAGAGATTTGACAAATTCATGAAAAGGCTTCTGTGAAGTTTTTCTGACTGCTCCTGCTGCCTTAACTCATGTTGGTGAATTAATATTACTTGAAAGAAATTGTATTTCCCAGTGTAGAACTAGAAAAAAACATCTACTCATTTTAGCTATTCTGAAGAAGGTATTAAAATGACACATATCCTACCTTTTAATCAATTTTTTAGAAGTTTTGCTATTACCATGTTAGTTACATGATTTTGGATACTAGGAGAAACTGAAGACAGTGCACCACTAGAGAATTACTTCAGACTAGCTATCATTTTGACAGGTAATAGCTTTCTATAGTAAATTACAGTTATAGCATGCTGTAGAACGTCAGTGAACTGAATGAATAAGCAAATAATGAGCAGTTTGGCTTTTCAACCAAAAGAACTCTGTTAATTTCCTTTGATAATTATTTAGTTTCATGAACAGGCTCTTTTGATGTATTAACCTTTAAAAAGAACAATCACAAATCTCAAATTCTGGGTTATAAGATGCTTTGTCAAAAATTATCTGAATAATTATTTGCATGGTAAGTTCATTCTGAAGCTTTAATGTGCAGCAGAATCAACTTGGATGTCTATAAAAATTCAGCCTCCCAGGTCCCTGCAAAGGAAGATGTGTTACATGATTTTGGATGCAAGGAGAAACTGAAGGCAATGCATCGCTGGAGAATTAATTCAACAGATGCGGGATGGGACCCCAAAACCTGCATTTTAAATTACTACTTCTGGTGATTTTCCGGTCAAGGGTCTGTTGATCACTATATTAGCTTTCTGTTGTTGTGTGCCCAATTACCACACACTTGGTGGCTTAAAACAACACACATTTATCATCTCACAGCTTCTGTCTGTCAGAAGTCTGGGCATGGCTTAACTGCATGTTCCTCAGGGTGAAATCTTCCACATTCTGAAATCAAGATATTGGCTAGACTGCTTTCTCATCTGAAGACTCTACTTACATGCTCATTCAGGTTATTGGCAGAATTCATTTCATTATACTGAGGGTCTTGGCTTCTCACTGGAGGCTACCCTCAGGTCCCTAGAGATCACCTGCAGTGTTCTGCCATGAGGCCCTTTCCATGAAAAAATCATGGCAGTTTGCTTCTTTAAGCCCAGCAAGTCTCTCTGACCTCGTGAAGGGTCCAGTCACTATTAAGGGATTTTAACTCTTTGAGTCGGGTCTGCTCAAGATACTCTCCCTTCTCACTGATCTGGAATGTAAACAATACCTATACATTCCTTTCATCTTTGCCTTCTAATATAACCTAATCACAGATATCCACCTTGTTCATGGTCCTGCTCACATTTCAGGGGAGGAGATTATACAGAGAGTGCATGCCAAGGAATGGAAACCTTGGGGCTCATCTTAGAATTCTGCCTACCACAACCATCCTTAGAAAGACAAAAATCACAGACTGCTAGGAACTTTCAGTGTGAGATTTGACTGAAATTTCAGAGAGCTAGCCCTATAGGTATGGTTGGTACTTCGTGACCATAAAATAAACGTCAAGGATACTAAAGGGCCCACACATAATAGATCTGTGCAAAAGAGACAGGAGATGGGAGCTGTGAGCCTAGCTAGGTAAAGACTGGGCTGTGGGTCTTACTTTCTTACCTTTGTTCTAGTCAGACAGGGAAGTTTTGTCAATTACTTTTTAGAAGTCTGAATGCTCTTAGTGGTGATTTTAGCATTTCCATAGACTTGCAAAGGCCCTCAATATCTGTTGGAAATGGCCTATCTATTCCTGCCTCCTAATAGTAGCTACTATCTTAATTTTAAAAATCTTTAGTTAAATTAGATGATTTTCTGGGAAAATTTAGAAAACCTAACACTAGAAGAAATAGAAACTCTAAGGAAAGCAATTGTCATAGTAGAAATAGAAAATTCGCTAATTATCCTTCAAAAAGTGACAGGAAGAGCAGTTTAACAGTAGGATGCATATATTAAACAACAACTATTTAGGAGAATTTTAACAATCTCTAAGAAATAAATACTTCCAATGGTATTTCATCTGCTGCAAGACCAAAGGAAAAAAGAATGTCGTTTAATTCTATTTGTGAAATAAACATTAATAACAGTATTCAAACCTAAGAAAGGTTGAGTCTAAAATGAAACCACTGAGCAATCTTGCATATATATATATATATACAAAAATCCTAAACAAAATATTAGCAAAAGCATGCAGTAGCACAAGGGAGGGAGGGATTGACAGTCACTGGACACAGCCAGGGAAGGTTGGTGGCACGTAGCATCACAAGGGGTATGTGGCTCTAAAACATGAGAAGTGAGGGCCACATGGAGGTCCAAACTTCACCTGCATGCAGCTCACTTGTGTAACTAATCCTGACTTGTACCCCACCTATCTATATTTATAATAAAATAAAATGTGTACACACACACATACATTGCCTGAACCCCTACCATTATCAAGCGGGGCTTATTCCAGGAATACAAGGACAATTTAGCATTAGAAAATCTGTCAATATCATTCAAAGATCTAAGGTTAAAAATGGTTTGATCATCTCTATAGATACTTAAAATGCATTTGACAAAAGATAATGTTCATTCTCCATGAAAACGTCTAATAAAAAAGCACTTACTTAACATGATAGAATATATTTGTCTCAAACAAATAAAAACCGAGAAATATGCCTAATAGAGAAACACTAAAAGCATGTCTAGATGAAGCCTTTTCAAGGATGTCCACTATTGTCAGTTTTGTAACATTGTATTGAAAGTACTAGTCAACACAATTATGTAAGAGATATATGAAGTTTGGAAATATGAAATAGGTCAGATGATCAATTAGTTTGCAGATGATAATTATATACATGATAAACCTAAGATAATTCCTTAAAAAAATCAAAATAAAACTGTAGTAAGGGAGAGGATACAAATTAATATAAAAACAGTAGGATTCATATGTTAAATAACAACCATTTAGAAGATACTTTACATTTAAAACAACTGTAAAAAGATTAACTAACTAGGAATAAACTTAATTAGAAACATGCAAGATCTTTCTGAAGAAAACATCAGAAAAATGCTCTTGATGGACATAAACATGACTTGAACAAAAGAAAATTGTAACATGTTCTTGTTTAAGAAGATGAATATATAAAGATGCCAATCTTCTTAAGTCAATCAATAAATATAATATTTTTGAAAAAAAACAAATTCATTTTAATATCTCTATGAAAAATAAACTGTCAATAATAACCAGGAAAAAAACTAAAACAGAATAAAAGATGTATTTATTCAATCATGGTATTGGTACATGACTAGATAACCATATCAAGTGAAAAATTAGAAAGTTCAGGATTTTAATAAGTAATTAAAAATGGCATGCCAAATCAGTAGGAAAATGAAGGATTCCTGAATGAATGGTGTTGGGAGACTTGAATAATCATTTAGGACAAAAAATTAACTTAGTCCAGATCTCACACTAACATTAGGGTACCTTTCTAATGGATCAATGATTTCAATGTAAATATGAAACCATAAAGGTAATAGAAGTTACAACAGTAGAACTCATTAATAACAGCAAAGTTGGCCTTTCTAATCATGACACAAAACTCAGATAAGAAAATAACTTTTCATCTTCTACTTTGAAAGCAGCTGAAGTTAGTCTTAGAAGAATTTTTAAAGACACACAATCAGAAAAAAGACAGATCAGAATTCATCTTATTTGTTACTTTGCTTCTGGGTAAAATTGTCCCTGAAACCAAGAACATCATTAATAGTCTTCTTTGGGACAAACTTGGAGTCTTTTCTTGTTACTTGACATTGTATTTTAAAAGTTTTCTCTATGTTGCTCCTCCTCAAATGCTTCAGGTTTTGTGCCGAGAATATGGGGTGAAAAGTTGAGGGAAAAGACAAAGGACAGAGGGAAAGAAACAGAGTTGAGAGAAATGGGTACAGGTATCAGAGTTGTAGGCAGGATGTTTAGTGAGCTGTGGAAACTGCCCACATCTTTCCTAGATGTAGGACATGCTTCTTTACTACACTCACTACTTTCAAATATATGGTGTCTCTTTTTTGCATTGTATTAACTAAATATAGACTAAAACCATTCTCCTTCTTAAACAGTAGAGACCACGCAGAGGCTGCCTTTGGCTCAGGCCAAGGAAGTGCTTCCCCCAATACCAGAACTGTGAGCGACTTTCACAGTGCATCGGCGAGAACAATAGACACAGTGAGTGATGATGGTGCTTTATGGACTGCTTGGTCTTAATTCACTATAAACATGAATAGATTCAAGGAGGTGGAGTTTACCCCAGATGACATTTCTATCTGGATGTAGGTGGTAGGATTTGCGATTTCAAATTTGTAAAGTCAGTTTGTATGAATTAGACTACAGGAAATAAAATCACGATTTTCTCCAGAATTTAGAAAGGATCAGTACAAAAATATCTTAGTCTGTTAAACTGCCCCTGAGATGTCAGCTTGTCCCTTTGGCACTGTTTTTCCTGGATTTGAGCCATAATTTAGTCTGAACATAAGAACAGAGAGAATGAAAGGTGTAAAGTTCCCCTTTTGCCCCCCAATTACTGAAGTAAATAAATCCTCTAAATTTAACATCTGACAATCTAGATGAACACACATTGATTTCTGCATACTTGAATCTGTGATCAGAAGTGTCTTAGGATTTTTTTCATTTATTCGAACAAATATTTTTAAAGTAACTATTATGTTAAAGGCATTACATAGGCCAGGCTCAGTGGCTCAACCTGTAATCCCAGTACTTTTGAGAGGACGAGGTGAGTGGATTGCCTGAGCCCATGGGTTCAAGACCAGCCTGGGCAACTTGGTGAGACCTCATCTCTACAATAAATCAAAAATTAGCTGGATATGGTAGCACATGCCTGTAGTTTCAGCTACTTGGAAGGTTAAGGTGTAAGGATCACCAGAGCTCAGTGGGTCTACACTGGGTTGGCTGTGAGTGTGCCTGGGCGACAGAGTGAGACTCCAACTCAAAAAAAAAAAAGATGTTATGTACAGCCATTGTGCCCCCACATAACAGGAAAGAGGAAGGAAACTAGCATGTATTAGTACTCTTTTACTGTACTTGGAGGTGATTGGCTACATCATTTATTCTACATGATACTTGAGGGGTTATCAGTCAAGGCCCTATCAGGAAACTGATGTTATCCAAGGGCCTGTTAAGCTAGAATGCATAATGGGGGCCCTGCTGCTTTCCTTAAGACAAAGGGGGCAAGAAATTCAGACACACACACACACACACACACACACACACACACACACACATACTCCGACTATGTAGGTATCTGACAGGATGTGTGACCTTTGGTCAAGGAACACTATAGCCTGTGGTTGCCCTGAAGAGAGAATAAATATTCTAACATCTCTGTTCTCCTTCCTCTGTTCTTCCCAGCACTTTTCATTGGCCAAACCCAACCAGAGTCAGAGGGCACTGGAACCCAGTGGAGGCAGTTCATGTAGGCTGGCCTCTCAGGGCACCAAGCAGGGTGGAAACAAGTTGAGAACATACTAGGAGAAGTGACCAAGGGGATCCAGCATAGATAACTCAATATGCCAACTGAAACTACGTGCCAAAGATATTTATGTGCTCAGGACAAAAGAGAGGCAGGTCTTAGTGCTTGACTCTTAGTGCAACCAGGGTCTGCTGTTGGCTCAGAAATTCCTAGGTAAAATAAAATGTAGTCATATGATTGTGTTAGTGAAATATTATTGGATATTATGCTTGATACCTCTTATTCTGGTCCTCATTCTGGAATGCCCAACTTTGCATCTGAAGAGCTCTCCTTTGTTCATCTGACAATTTTTTTTGAGTCAAAGTCTCCCTCTGTCGCCTAGGCTGGATTTCAGTGGCATGATCACTTCTCACTGCAGTCTTGACCTCCTGGGCTCGGGTATCCTTCTGCCTCAGCCTCCCAAATAGCTGGGACTACAGGGGTGTGTCACCCCACCCAGCTACATTTTTTTATTTTTATAGAGACGAGGTCTTGCTATGTTTCCCAGGCTGGTCTTAAACTCCTGGGCTCAAGCAATCCTTCCACCTCAGCCTCCCAGAGTGCTGGGATTACAGGCATGAGATACCGTGTCTGGCTACCAAATGATTTTTGAGCATCAATTGTGTGTCAAGAATTCTACTCATTGGCAAAAATAACAAAACAGTCATTGGAAGAATTAGATTAGGGAACCCTCAATTCAAATACATATTGTGTCAAGTGACACAATAGAGGTACTCACAGGGGACTAGGAGAGTGTAGAGACCCCCTCATTCAGGGGATATGATATTTTTAATAGATGTTTAATAAGTATTTGTTGAGGGAATAAATAAATCCCAGCTTCTATGTCTCTCTACTAGAATCATGGACTGTCATAACTGAAACTTCATGAACACTTACATTTTCATGTAATAGATGTAGTAAATAAACCAAACATACTATAGCAGCAGAGGCTAGAGGAGACCTTATGTTTCCTAGGTCCCAGGCTGAGAAGTATATCACTGATCATAATGTCTTTTTAGGAATATAATGTTCACTCCACTTCATAACAGAATCAGAAAAAGCCCTGAATCAGTGACTTGAGGAAGGTTTCTGGTATTCTTATAAGGTGCAGTTTTAATAAATGATCTTCAAGTTGTTTTCTACCAAGTTTAATTCAGGTAACACTTAACAAAATTTATTGTGAATAATATTTGCTTGTTTTTATTTAAATCTTCAGAATACCCCTGGGCAATTTGGACTGAACCCTTTTGAAGAAATACTCATAATTTTATTTTGGGAATGAGTGAACCAGCAAATGTTTGGGTCCAGCTGAGGATACACAGTAGGAAAGCAGTGAGAAGGCTGATTGGCTGATGATAACTAGCTCAAGAGCATTCATTCGACCCATGAGACCAAGGGATCAAGAGTTTGTTCAAGAAACCATTATGAGTCATGGAAATCAAGCTGATGAAACCCAGGGAAACAGCAAGAGAATGCTTAGTGTTTTTCTTTTTTAAATCCACCTTTATACAGCTTAGAATAGACCCAAGATTTGAATTGTGAGGAACCAAAACCAGGGTAAAGGTCATGGATGCAAATCCTTTCTCTTGTTGGGCTACATTGCAGATGTTGATATAATTTGATTTTTTTTTTAATACAGATGGATTGTTTCTATTGGTAAATTATCTAAGACATCCTGGGTTGTTTGTTTATACATTTGTTTGCATTTATAAATCTTACTTTCTTTTGGCACCAGAATGCTTAAAATAAAAGTCAAAGATACCAAAATAAAACGAATTTAAATAAAATACTTGAGTATTTAAGTCTAATAGCAAAATGTTTCCTCAGATTGTTTTGGCATTCATATTTGTTACTGCCATCATTAATGTCAAGCATAATTACAGTAATTCATTACAATAAAAAGCATATATAGATAAGAGGGCCATCCTCTTAACATTGAAAAATATAACAATACCTTCCCAGAGTTAAGATGAAATTTCATTTCCTGGCATCCTTATATGGTTAAAATTGCTGATCTAAATTGGTTTACAGAGTTTAACTGCAGGGTCAGATTTAATCTGAAGTGATGGGGTTCAGGACATGCTACCCCAACATCGAGCACTTTGGCAAACTAAATTTTCTAAGCTGAAGGAATTTGAGAAAATGGCAGAAGCAAGAAGGTCACTCTGACCCTCCCCCGCCATCTTTCTCCCAGAAGCAGGTCAAAAACCCTCTGACCTTCCTCTGAAATAGACCATAAGACCCTCATGTGAGAGGTGCCCTCCTCATACTCAGAGGAAAGGAGCTTCCTTATTTCTGAAGACACAGGGGCACAGAGAGGAATCTGAACAAACAGGCCTTCCTAAGTTTTCCCCAGCACATTACTATTAGATCACACTATTTCCCCCCTATCATATTTGTCTATGTCTCTCCTGTCTTCATCAAACCCACCATAAAAAACACTCAGGTTTAACAGTCTCCTTGACACTTCATTTCCTTATGAAGAATCTCATGTTATTTAAAACTTATTTCAATAAATTAGGATCTTTTTCTCGTATTAATCTTTTGTTATAGAGGCCTCAGCTATGAACTTAAAAGGAGAGAGGGAAAATATTTTTCCTCCCCTACATAAGCAATCTAGTACAAATGAATGTTCCGGAACACAGAGGTTTTTCTGGTACCCACGTTTTTTTTTTTTTGTCTTTTTTTTTAGATCAAAAGTTGAGGTTCTATTTGTCAAATTTAGGGACTGAAGATTTGGCAAATGGAATTCTACTGGTTTTGCTTTTTTCTTGTCTGTGTATCTTTATGTAATAAGTGAGTCAAGTTCAGGTCCAGAATTTTTTCAGCAGGAGTGCAGGGATGTCACACTCTTTGAGGTATGGATATTATGCAATTTCTGAGAAACCAAAGAATTTTTTTTTTACTGCATATCACCTATTATGTTCTGACAAAATGACTGGAAATCAATGGTAACTTGGCTAACAAAAGGCATAAATTAAATTTCAAGTTTTGTAAAAATGTGGCAGCTTTCAGGAAGCCAATTTCACTTGTTTATTAAAATAATAAAGTATAACATATACTGGGAAGAACATAAATATGTAGATGGCCCATTCTCTGCCCACAAAGAACTTGGGATCTGGCAGAGGAGACAGGATATACACACTACTAAAATAGTAGACACACTATAATAAGTTAAATGATGCATGTTTCCTACTCAGAATTTACAGGCCAACAATTTCCAGTTGGGGGTAATCAGGACAGTTTCTTGAAGAGGTGATTTTTGAGCAGGCTTTTAAAGATAACTTCTCCTAATCTCAGAGTCCTCAAACTTCCCAAGTATACATGTTCTTGGGCCCCGTATTCCTTTTTCATATCTATTATTTACAATTATTTTCATGGTTATTAATTAACATCTGTCTCCCTTTCTAGACTGGAACATGAGGGTAGGAAAACATGTATGGTTCTGCTCACCATAGTATCCCTGGCAGCTGGTAGGGTGTTTGGCTTGTAGTGGTTTCTTCATAAATGTTTGTTGGATGAAGAACAGTGTATCGAGCCCCCACTATACATCTGGCATATGCTATGTACACTCTCATTTGCTTCTCACAATGATTCCCAGAGATAGGTGTCATTCTCTCTGAGGAAGATGAGACCAAGGAAAGTTCATCAATCCTAGTGATGGATGGTTCAATCCTAGGTTGGTTGGGCTGCAAAGTC